TATTTTATATATATCTGCCAGTAAAAATCATGACTAAGGAAAGGAATCTCCTGCTATAAACACAAGAGAGCATTGGATGTCAACAGATGACCCCTAGCTTAAGCAGAAAATTGAGGTGAAGGTTAAATAGATGACTGCTTTTCATTAGAAAGGGACCTTGGTAAGTCATTCCAAAGTAAAAAAGCAAGAAGCAGCAAATATTAATCACAGTCTTCTCAGCATGTCAAGGACTTGACTCCTTAGTAACACCGTGGCATCACTTCCAGGATGGTGCAGACTGTTCTCAACCTCCCCTAAACATCTGGCCAGCACGGCTCTCCTTGAGAGCGCGTTGGAGGAACCGGCAGCAGTGATGTTCCTCTGCTGGCCTCCGTCTCCTCTCCCACTTGCCCACCGGAATAGGACGTACCCAGAGGGTTGCGCACTCCAGTAGTTTTCAGCAAGTGGGGCGAACTCTACCAACTCATGAACTGAGCCTAAGCCTTGATTCGGCAAAGGTGATGTGAGAAAAGGAGTAACAAAAGCACAGAGATACTGAGAGGGCAGAAGCTCTCCTCTGGCAGACATTCTCTCGAGGACAAGGAGACAGGGGCTCCAGTTCCAACACTGCAAAATGTGAGAGAAAACTTTGCCATTCTTCTCAGCTCACATCCACAGAAAGCTAACAAAGAAGGTAGAAAAAAAAATATAGGAAGTATTTGGCACCAAATGTACCTTTTTAAAAAAAACCCCAACCTCATCAGAGTTTCATGGAGGAAGAGAACTTCCCATCGCTAACACACAGGGGAAAAAATGTTTTTCTTTTAAACCATTATGATACGGTACTGATCACCGCTGTCTGAAAGCGAAGATAAATACAGCTACCCACAGTGTCCATCAGAAAGAATAATCACTTCAGAATTGCTGCACTGTCCGCCTGTATTACTTTATTTATTTAGACTGGCAATTTTGATTTAGATCATCTCGTGGTGGGAAAAACCTTGTTTGTGGCTGTTCCTGCTTATCAATCAGGAAAAAACCCTGCACCACCAAAATGTGTGTATAGCCTCTGCTGACTTCACGGAATGTGGAACATGTTCATCTCAGCTGGAGTTGGATGAGAATTAATTGCACTGTAAGATAATGCTCTTAACACTTGGCTATTTCTTTCTGGTCTGAAAACAAGCCATTCTTACGTCTTCTGTGTAAGTACTACGCAGGATTTTAACTTTTTTGTTAGTATTCTTGCAAGAATGTATTTGAATGTTCACCTGTAGTACGTACTACCACCTTTCCTATGAGATTTAAATGTAAGTGCACGTGGTTTCGTGGTGCTTTCTCATAATAATGATCTTGTACATTAAAATACCTCCCTCTCCTATTACTCCACACTATTACAACTATAAGTTTCCTGATCCAGTACGCCTACAAAGGCTGTAGACAATTTGCATGTTTTAGCTGGAAGTCCTGCTGTATTCACTTAATATGCAAAGATTAATATTTATACAAAACATTCGATCTTTTCCTGGGTGCATTAAAAAACTGCTGTTCATGCCACTACACTTAAGGTCATGCCAGTATTTCCATTATAAACTCTTCATTTACAGATACCAGGCATAAAACTCATTGTATCAAGTCACAAGGGCTTCAGAAAAACCAACAACACTAGTTGAGAAAGCTCTTCTTTTTTATTTTTCTTTTATGAAGTCCTCCAAATCTTTAAGCCTATGGAGAACCTAATTAGAGTCTATGGAGAAACCTCCAGGGGGGACAATATAAAGCATTTAATGTGTAATTTTGAGTTCCAGGGTCACGAGGTCTTAGACTCTCTCTCAGGCAGAACTCCTAGTGTTTGTGGCTCAGCCACATGAAACGTACAAAATTGTATTAAATATTTAAGTATCTCCAAAATGGATTTAATCTCTGAGACTCTTCCACTGCCACAAACTGAGCTTATTGTTTCTGAAGGTTCACACTCTGCCTGAGCTGGTAATGACAGTGGGGAAATCTCTCTTCTAAAATATGTGATCGCAGGAAGGTAACATACACAGTACAAACTGTATTACAGGATGCTTTTAGAAACGTACGCAGTGAGTTCTGGCAATCTAATCTCTCCTCCTGATGTCTGACTCAAGATGCCCTCCTTTCTGCTTTCCCTTATACGCTGAGGAGGTGAGCTGACACTAAGTTCCCTTTGATTTTTTTTTTCCTAGCACCTTTCTTGGTGCTTGTGCTTGGGATAATAGGGATAATTTTCATTTTGGCTTGCAAGTGTGGAGAATCTCAACTGTTTCTCTAACCAAGTTTGTCAAAATTTGAATTGCTTTCAAATAATCTGTACAGAAGCACCTTTGCACAGTGAAAGATGTAGGTGTCAAGATGTAGCACACGTTCCTGAAGCAGTCCTGTCTTAATTCTGGTATAAATTTACGAAGTGCCATGCATGCCACCGCTCCCCTCACTTCCCTCCTTACTTTAGGAGGATATGCCATTATCCATCCTTTGCAATACACCATCGAAACGTGCTTCTTTGAGATCAGCCTGAGATGAGAGAGCAGAGTAGCACTGAGCCTTACCTTCATGAATCCCGCCAAAGACATGGAGTTTGGGCCTTACTCGCCGCTGCACCGTGTTCAACAGTTCCACACAACCCACCCTCTGCAGCTCCTTTGGAACCCAGTCTCGAAAACCTGAGGGCAAAATGCAATCAATACCATTAATTCTCTCTATTCAGGTACGGCTTCACGTAGTCTTTCAGGAAGTCATAATTCATGGAAGGTTTATTACATTATCTGTACGCGTAACCTCTCCATTAAAGCACACAATGGCTTTTAAGAAATGTTTCACTGTCACTTTGTCTTCCTTAAGATTTCCTCCCTCCATCTGCATTAATATTTTTCTGGATGTGATTTGTTTCTTTAAACTACAGGTTTAAACTCATTTTCCACCTTGAAACCCTGGGACATTTATTCCCGGCACTGCTGCAGATTTTTCTTCCCTTTCCCCTGGCTCTTACAGCCGTCAGCTTCCCAAGCCAGCTACCTGGTTACTCCAGAAATGAAATGCTTCAGGAAGATCGCTGATCTATGACCCAATACCTCTGCCACCCCAAAGATTTAAAATACAGTCTCCCACAATTTCCTGAAGACCACAGTCTGCGTGGGTCAGGTGGCTTCTGAGTCCCTGGTCACCAACAAGCAACGTAGCAAAACAGCTTCCAACAAGCTAGTGCCGATTGACTACACTGCCACTCAGTCTATGGATAATATGGAAAAATGCACAAAACCTAAATAGAGAAGTCTGCTGCCTGGCCTGGCACTGATGAGGCTCCGCAGGGCAAGAATGAGGAGTAATAAAGGGGAAATTGGGAACCACATCCAACTGTAGCACCATTCTACTGACTTTAAAGTAATTGCACCCTGTGCCAAGTTTATCCCAGGTAGTGAAAACATGTTGTGACATGAACTTGACTGAATTTTGGAGAACAAAGAGCCCAGTTACAAGGCTCTACGTCCCTTAATATTTAGGTAATTTAAAAAGCAGCATTTAGTTGATATAATTATGCAGGCTGAGACCTAGACACCCTCCTTCTACGCACAGCAGTAGCACCTCATCTGTGTTTGTAGTTAAAATATGATGCACCAACCATTTGAAATTCAACTTCGTTATCTCCATCAAAACTAAAATTTAAGTATGCCTATTCAATTAAAGCACTCATTAGTGTCTTCAGCATGACGGTTTTTCTGTACCAACCCAATTCAGAGCAGAAGGATTAGCAATCCATTCAAAACAGCACCCATGAAACTTTATAAACGTGCTTGTGGGGGTTTTTCTTGCTTCTTTGGGAAAATAAACAGACGAAGAGAGTGCTATTCCAAGCGTTGGTTTTCAACATTCAGCGCGCTCCGCTGTCAGCGGATGGTGTACCGCTGATTTGTCGAGTAGCTCTAGGAAGATTGCAGACAATTTGCAGATCGTCTTACAACATTCTCTGAGTAGTGTTAAAAAGTTAACCAGGATATAAAAGCAGTAATAAGTACATTTCTGGTCAGAAGCTTTCTGGATGTTTTTTTCCTTTAGCTCTGTTGAGATTGCTGACTTCTAATGGTGGTACAAAGCATAAGCATGGATTAATTCCTGACTCCACGGTCGCCGAGAAGCTCTACGAGAGCACTGAGCCAGCCCGGTAGCACTTAAATGCTGTTTTGTAATAGCACCTTGCAATGCTGGGAAGTTGGGGTTTTTTTTATATTCACTACCATCTCAAAAGTCAGTGACTTCACGTGATCACATGATGATCTGACCCTTTGGATTTCAAGAGGTTACTAAAACCCTGACAAAAGCACAGACAACTAACAACGGTAATGAAGAAGAGACTGACACACTTTCTCAGCCTGAGAAGACACATTTATAGAAGGCAGATGGTTGTGGTAAACCCACCTGAAATATTTAAAATATGGTCCTAGACTGCTTGCCACATGTGTCTTAAAGAAAAGCAGTAAATAATATGTGACACTATCTTACAGATAGGGAAAAACCAGTGGGAATTTTCAAACGGTTTTAGTGTGGGCTCCAATGACTTTAGATAGGCCAAACCTGAGTAATCCTGCCTCTGCTGAACAATCATCTTAGTGTCTGTTTGAGACCATCAGAAGTTAGTTTAGAACTTAGAATTAAGATGGGGATGGGTGAATTACTCACCGACGGGCAAGCAAAGTTTAACTAAACAAAAATTTCAACTACTTAATGAAAAAACAAATCATGCATTCAGACTTGTGCTCACCTATCGCTAATTTGAGTAAGGAACTATCATCTGAGAACGATTTTATTCCTCCACAAATGTGCTGAAGCCAATTAATATCTTCAAAACTACTGTTACATAATCTAATTATCAAGGAGAATATGTGACTGCACGCTCCCGGACTCTTGATTGTGTAATTATAACCTTAAGGAAACACGTCACTGTAGTGGAAAAATGCTTTAAATGTTTTAGTCCATCTCTGAAAAGTCATATGGGATTGGAAACTGTCTGTCAGATGAATATTGTTCTTAAATACAATGTCAAACTATAATGGCTAGGGGATCAGATATTCGATCTTCCCTAGTTGAGTTTAACTAAGAATTTTTATTAAGAAAACACCTGGAAGTTCAACAGCTCTGCTACGTGTAATCATCACTTTACACTTCTTCCAAAAAGGCCTTTTTGTTCACAGTTTTGAGTTAGGGTGTGGTAACAGTCCAGCTTATAGCATTATCAATTTTGCTTATTCTGAAAGTAAAATAATCACACACAGCTTTTGTTTCACTTACCAAGGGGAGGTCCATGTGTCATTAGTATATCAATTCCCTCGGGAATAAGGTTCCACTTGTCTAGCAAAGACTGACCTCTGGGTAGGTTAAAGCCCCATCCATTAAACCACGGTGTCCTTTAGGGGAAAATAAGATGAACTGCATCAGTGTAAAATGAGAATCTCTTCCCTTCTTCAATTTTTCTGAACAGAAATAATTTCCATACTTCAGAGATTACTTGCAGACAGCCTTTTTGTAGGGGATGTCACTAAAACAAACTGGTTCAAATACATGCACACACTTAACCCATACATTTTAATTTAGATTAATATCCTATGCTCTTTTTGTACAAGAGTATTCAGCCCTTGGGGGGGTTATCCACCAGAGAGAAGGGAAATAAGTTAAAATAACACAGGCTAAATCTAAAGCTTTTTTCCAAAGTTTGGGGCCCTTCAAACATAAAAACTCTTTCCTTATGATACGTACCAAACCAAACAAAAATCTCAGGAGATTTTGGAGGCAAGAGGCAATTTCCCACCACACAAGGCAGCTCGTGGGTCGCAGCTCAACAGGAAGGCTGTATGATGCAGTGGCTATAAGCACCGGTATTACACTAAACTCAATCCTGCTCTTTTTAGCAGCTTTAATGTCAGAACGTTGTCACGTAACTCAGCTTTGAACCCCTGAGCCTCCTAGAAGTCTGGAGCGTACAACGTTTAGCCTCACAGTAACTTTTTGAAGGAATCTTATAGTTTAAAATTCATTTAGTATTTCTTAAGGAAAACCGAGATCCTCAGCCTCCACCATCATAGCATAGCGTTGCTCAGAGACGGTTTATCCATCAGCCCAGGCACGTCGTAATGAAAAGCAGACCTTCCTGGAGTACCTTTTCAATGTATAACAGCCAAATGGAACCATTTTGACACAGGTTTACTATAACAAAGCCTTTCCTTATCAAGTAGGTACACAGAGCGAATGTTCTGAAGAGATACAGTAATATTTACACTTGTTATTAACAACTTTCTGTAAAGCTGTTAGTACTGTACTAATTTTAAGAGTTTTCGTCCATGGGTGTGTTTCCTAGAGATCGGGCAACAGATTTAGGCTGGGTTGCTTCATTTTCTAGGCAGGACACTCCTGTCCTAGCCCTAGACATTTGGGGGCACCTTTCTGAGCGTTCATGCGACTCCTGCAGTCTTCTGGGCACTGCAGTTCTGAAAACAAAAAATGAAATCCGGGGGAAAAAAAGTAACCACAAACCACCCTTAAAGAAAAGCGTACCTGTTAAAGAGAGACCATTAAGAGTCCTACATCATTTCATTATGTCATCTGCCTCCTGCGCCCTCTAAATTATGCATTTTCCAGCCTCAAATATGCATTTAAAGTGGAAATTAAAAAAATCTCTCTAATATTTATTTTTTGTAATTAAAGTATTTTGTTTTCCAGAGACACTAATTTGACGAGTGAAGATTATTACCCAGTTATATGTATGGTCTGAATTCCTGACAATCGGCAGGACGGGAAAACAGCAGGCGCTGCTAATGCAGGAGCAGGAAGGTCACTGGTAACAAATCATAGACCTATCCCATGCAGTCCTACCGCCTACTCATACTACACACATACAGGAACTTGTTCAACCTAGCAGACTTCCTGGATGCTCCCTAACAAAAGATGGGAAAGTCAGATGTTCGTTAAACATCTTAGGCGAGCTGTGGGTTCCTCAGGTGCAAGGCAATGACACTCTGCCCCTCTCTGCACTGGGTGAAACACCGACCCAAGGGGGTAAGGTGTAAAGGTCAGCGTACCGCACAGGAGGTTTGTATGCAACCGAATTAAAACTGAAGCACGTGTCTGAGCTTTAACTAAATCACAAGTGTTCCTGCTTTTGTATGACTGACCTTTCTGAAAGACGTATCTAAATTTCCTTTCCCATAACGTTCCTAGGTTTTAACTTATCAAGATTATTGTAACCTTCAGGGCTGCACTTAAATTTAAAATATGGTTTGGCTAAACTTTCAGCTGCTTAAAAAGACAAACACGGCGCATAGGTTGAACTTTTCACTGTCAATTAACGATTCTTTCCCCACTTGCATTTCTCCTGCAGATACTACTGTAGTTATTACACCATAGTTAAACCTGAAATGTGAAACCACATCTGTGATCTCTCTAGAGCTCTTTGGAGACTACGACCACGGAAAAAAAATGGATTTGTCTGCAGGTTTTTTATTTTATTTGCTTCTGAAGCACTGGGGGAAGGGGAGGAGGGGAATCTGAGCTCCACTATATGCTTCATTCACCAGGCCCTGTAATTAGCTGTGACTAACAGGCACCACATGGGAATCCACTTGTAAGGAAACTTTGGAGAAACCTTCCCCATTATGTAGCACTGTGCACAAAAACGATGGTAAAGTACTTCTTTAATACACTAAGTACTTTCATATGAAATGAGTGTATCGGAGAGAAGAGAGCGAATGACTGGAAGAATGCCTGGATTGCAGGTTTCGGTTGCAGGCACTGAAAACACAACCCTGCACGGCATGCTCCATGAGAGCGCGGCGCCCTGACCAGGCAAACCCTGCGGCTCCGAGGTGGCTCAGGCCTCACCAGAAAGCCAAGAGGAAAGAGGATGTGCCCAGAACACCACCAAGAAGAAGAAACGGCTTTATGGCACAAATCCGGTTGTAGCTGAGATCATAGGGAAGGTCACCCCTGTTTGCACTACGCAGCGTTGCGGCGCAGACAAAAGGGAGTTGATGTAGTGGGAATCCCACCAGCGGACTGATGAATAGTTGTTTATCCCCCACAAAATTTAAATGAGTGCAGGAAAGACAAAGCCTGCACTGTAGGTAGGCAGCATCTTATCAAGGGAGAGTGCATAAGGATACTTTACTCTTATTAGTGCCCTTTTTAGCAGACATTAAGAGTTAAGTAGAGAATTGCTCTCAACTTCTAAATAATTTAGAGGAAAAAACCTGTAGGAGTAGTTCCGTGCCTTCTGCAACATCTTCTTAGGCTGATTATTTACTGGGAGAAATCACCTCGTATCTAGGAAGAAATGCCTGTAACGAACTTTGGATGCACCCACCCACCTGTGGTAGGTCGCAATCAGGTGCAAATAGTTAGTAAAGTCTAATTAGTCATGAGTAACCGTATTTAAGATCTGACATGTTTTTTGTTCCTATGAAGTTCTAAGCAAAGTATTTCAGTTAACCCCTAAAAACATAAATAGTATACTTCATTTTCAAGTAGCTGACAGGAAAAGAAAGCCATCAGCTGCTGAATAATGCCACAAGGGAGGCACAGACATAAAAACCACATGGATTAGCAATGAGAGATTACAAATGATTTTGTCATTTTATGTTTGACGGACCAGAACGTTTCCTCATACCCGCTGCACAGCGTGACATGGGTCCGGCTTGCCTCGCGTTTCAGCCCGCATCCGGAAGAACCAAATTGAGCCTCTGCTCGTCAGAACCATGCCGCACAGCACCCTTGACGTGCCAGCACACCGTCACGGTAATTCCTGATCCCTGGCTCACCTGACAGCTCAGCCCTCCCCTGACTGCAAAGCTTCCTTATCACTTAGGGAGAGCAGTTACGCTGGCACCAGATGTGACACAGGGAATATCCTCATGAAAGGCAGACACCTGGCCCATCGCTACTCTCTTCAGTTCTTCATTTCTAGGCAGAAATCCCCACAGATCCCCCTCCACCTGGCATTTTGGAAGTTACATTTTCTGCAATTAAAAGAACGCTTATGCAGTAGGCTGCGTGTTACCTTCATACCCTGTGCTGCAAGAGACGCAGACATCCTGACATAATAGCGAGAAGGAGGGGATCTTAAGTTTCACGACAAGATTCACCCTCCCTGTGCAGGTGTTTGCAGAACACCCGGGCAAGACACACATCCATCTGCTTTCAACGGCAGAGCGCTGCCTCTTCAGGAGGTGATCAGGTCACTTCTCCCAAGTGACTTTGTATGGTTCTACTACTGAACTATTAAGAAAAAAAAAATAAAGCAGAGTGATGGGAGCGTTATTTTGCCACAGAATCTCAGCTGCTCCTTGGTGTGTACACCTCTGAAGCAACACTGTCCCACAGGGGATAAGGCGACACAAGGTCACGGCCAAGTTCATCCAGTTGATACAGGAATTACAAATCCTTCTGGAACATTTTTAAAGGATGGTATCTCCTACTACCTACTTTCATCTCTTCTCTGGCTTATGAATTTAATGACCTGATCCTCAGAGTTCAACGGTAAATGTACAATGAGACTTTCTAGATGCAGGTTTTCCTTTTACCTCCACCGGCAAATCCATTTACTTCAATAGTTGCTTCTAAACAGGATTAGAAAAAATAAATTATACCTCCGTTTTTAATCCCGTGTACTCATCCATTTTTAAGGCTACCCAGCAATTTTATCGTTAATCCAATGAGTAATGTGCACAGGAAGGCAAAAGATCTCGGTCTGTCTCCTTCCCCAGGACAATAGCCGAGGGGGGTGTCCAAAACGCATCGCAGCAGGAAGCGCTTCCACACAGCTAATAACGCAACGCTCTTGATTTCTGTCAGCCTTCAAGCTGAACGCACAGACCTGGCTCATGAGGGAGAGAGACCGTTCCGTTAGCAGAACAAAACCGATGGGACAGGATCCTGAAGGCACCCCTGGTTACAGCACTAGCCTAGAGACAGATCCCAGAGTATCTGAGGCAGCGCGAGCCGAAAGCCGCGGCGGCTCAGCCAGCTAGCAGAGAACACGCCGCAAAGGCGGGGGGTAGGTGGCCTTTGTGCACAGAAGAGAAAAGCCTTTCAATCCTCTTCCCTCCATCCCGAGCGCCGCGCACAAATATTTGCCAGGGCAGAGCAGCATGCACGTGCCCGTCTCCATTCAGTCCATGGGCAGAGCGTGCCTGGTGGGAATACACAGAAAGGGACTGTAGCGTGGGGCGAGGGAGACGGGATAAAGGAGAGCATGTGTAATCATGGAAACAAAAGGCTGAGTAGGGCAAGCGCACAATGTGTTAAGCAAGCACATTTTACAAGATAAGAGCTTCTATAAAGGCTCTGAAACTCGCCTTCCGTGCTACAAAAGCGTTTTTTCTGGTTAGGCTCGTTCTTACAGTGAGTATTCAAATGC